ACCCCGCTGTGTGAGGCACCCAAAGGGACTTCAGAGCAGGGCGGCGTTCGGCTGGTGTGACGAGGACGGAAGGAGGAGGAAAGGGGAGGAGGAAGAGGAGGAGGAGTAGTAGGAGGGAGCCCGAGAAGAAGGAGGAGGAGGCGGAGGAGGAGCAGGAGGAGGAGGAGGCGGAGGAGGAGCAGGAGGAGGAGGAGGAGGAGCAGCAGCAGGAGAAGGAGAAAGGGGGCATGGAAAAAGAGGGGGCGGGAGCAGGGAGAGAGGAGGGGGGGAGGAAGAGGGAAGAACGAGGATGAGGGGGAGAGGCAGAGAGAGAGGGAGAGAGAAGGAGAGAGACAGAGAGAGAGGGGGGGGGAAAAAATGAGAGAGAGAGAGAGGGGGGAGAGGGAGAGAGAGGGAGAGATGCCGTGAAGAATGTAGGGGCGAGGGAAAGAGAGAGAGGCAACGAGGAGGATAGCGCACAAGAGGTGAGAGAACAACGTGGGCGGGATTCACGGAGAGTGAGATAGAAACATGAGGGGATGAGGGAGAGAGTGTGTGTGTGTGAGAGAGATGTAGAGGAGCGGGAGGGAGAGAGAGATAGATCAAGAGACATCGACATACACATATATGTATATATATAGAGAGAGATGGATGTATATTAAAGGTGCGCATTGTGTGCACATCCATATTCGTACATGCTTGCATCGAATACGCATGCGGCGAACCACCGCCCTCCCCTGTTCCTTGGAAACGCTGATGTGTGTGTGTGTGTGTGACCAAACCTTGGGCAAAAGCTTGGGCAAGCTATTGGAAGATGTGTTGTCCCAGCCGTTGTGGGAGCCCGTGGGGGTGCATTTGGGGAAGGAAGCGAGTGGATGAGGAGAGGAGGAGGAGGAGGAGAGGAGGTGGAGGAGGAGGAGGAGGAGAAGAAGAAGGAGGGGGATGCGGCCTCTTGCGGCCCTACTGTGGCCTCCTGAGGTGCTCGTGGGAACCTCCTGGGGCCTCTGATGGGCCTCATGTGGCCTCTCGGGGGGGCTCTGGGTGGGGGCCCTGGGGGACTCTAAGAAGCCTCTTGGTTTTCGGAGGCCGCATTGGGAGCCTCTCTGGGCCGTCGTGTGGTCATTTGGGGGCGTTTTAGGACAGTCTTGGGTATCCTTGGCCCTCTTGGAGCCGTCCTGTGGGCCTCTGGCGCCTTCTTGGGGCCAGTATGGCCCGTCTTGAGGCCATCTCGGGGGCTTCGTGGGTCGTCTTGGAGCTATCTTGGAGGCCTCTGGGGCTGTCTTCGGCTGTCGCAGGCCCGAAAAGGCGAGACCGCAGCATCCCCGAACTAATTCGGCAAAGCACCCGAACTGCAGCAAAAGTGGCCCGTGGGGCAGGTGGGGACGGTGGGGCGGACCTGCGAGACCTCGGGACCTCTGTGGCCCGTGGGACTCGTGGGGCAGGTGGGGACTGTGTGGTCTTGTGGGAACTGCGGGTGGGACTTGCGGGACCCGGGGACCTCTCTGGAACGTGCGGGGTCTTTTTGGATGTGCGAGATTTGCGAGACTTGTATGGCCAGTGGGACCTCTGGGACCTCTGGGATCTGTGAGACCTGCGAGACCTGCGAGACCTGTGGGACCTGCGGTATCTGGGGGACCTGTGGGACTTGTGAGACGTGCGAAGCTTGTGGGACGTTTGAGGGACCTATGATTATTGCGAGACCTGTAGGATCTGCGAGACCTGTGGGAGCTGGGGGGTCCTGTGGGACCTGCGAGACCTGCGAGACCTGTGGGACCTCTGGGACCTGTGGGGCCGGGACCTGAGGGATTCGTGAGATTTGCAAGACTTGCGAGACCTGTGGGATTTGGGAGACTTGCGGGAGCGGGGGGGTCCTGCGAGACCTGCGAGACTCGTTGGACCTCTGGTACTTGTGGGATCTGTAGGACCAGGACCTGTGGGATTCGTGAAACCTGCAAGACCTGCGAGACCTGTGGGACGTCTGGGACCTGTGGGATTTGCGAGACCTGTAGGACCCATGGCTCTGCCACACGTTCGTGACCTTGGAGGACTGAAAGGGTGAGCGTCCGATGGCCCTGCCACACGTTCGTGGCCTGGGAGGGCTGAGTTTGCGACAATCCGATGGCCATGCCACGCGTTCGTCGCCAGGGAGTGCTGAAATGGTGACAGTCCGATGGCCCTGTCCCACACATTCGTCACTGGGGAGTGCTGGGTGTGGAGAATCAGATGGCCCTGCCGCACGTGCGTGACCTGGATTGGCCGGAATGGTGAGAACCGTTGTTCATAAGGGATCGTGGCCGTCCGGACAAGAATTTGGCCGGCATTGGGGCGGGAGCACGGTATCGGGAGCCTTGAGACGGGGGTCTCTGCAAACGGGGGTCAGCCAGAGCGCCCGATCTTGCAGGATCTTGCAGGGCCAGGTCGCACTGACCCGGGTTTGGGTGCAGGATCCCGAAGGATCTTGCAGGATCTTCCGCATTGACCCGGGTTTGGGTGCAGGATTTGGCAGATTCTTGCAGGATTTTGCAAGGCCCGACTGACCCGGGTCAGGATTGACCCGCGTCAGAAGATCCCCGACGGTACTTGAAGAATTCGCGAGAGCGCCTCAGGCGAAGCAGCCCTCTGGGGACGGCGTCTTGTGGGTCCCCGTCCCCATTGTGGATCCTCTATGTTCGTCAACATATACCAGTAGAGCAAAACGCTATTTGTGCAAAACTTGAGGGATGTTCAACTGTATCGAGACCGATTTCTTTTCGGCCATCTTCTTCATACGTATGGGGAGCCTAGGCCAGAGTCAGCCTGGTTCATACTCAGAAGTAGCAGGACTATGGCATCGACCACTACGATAACTACGTCCTCGGTATCGAACCCGTGTGGTTGGGCCTCGCATCCGCGAGGCGCTGAGAGTTGTCATGAACCTGTTTCATTGTGCTCCCGACCGGGGGCAACTACCTTTCGACAAGTATGCCACGAAGGGCTACATGAACTGGGTCATCACGTCATCACGCATGGCCGGCCCGTCGAGGGCACTCACGTACACATAGCATTACCTTATCAGTATGCCCCATCGGGGGCGCGTAGGCGTTCACGACGTTCGCCTGAAATGAACCGTTTCTTCGACATCCCTGTACCGCCGTACTCGGCTACTGGCCGACGCCCGCGGGATGCGTGGGTTATCCCTTCCCCGGTTGGCCACTGTGCCACTTTCTAGTCTTCATCCTGGCTGTCGGCAGGAGCTCGTGCCATGGTATCGTGCCGACGCCCGCGGGATGGACGGGTAATCCCTTCCCCGGTTGCCGCTTCCAGCGGGGAGTCTGAGGCCTAGACACGCACTTCTACTTCGTCGGCACCCCGGGGCGTTGCGTCCTCTATAAATCGCTGGTCGTTGAGTTCTCATATGTCCCACGGCCGACTTTTTCCTGTTCCTTTCTTTTGACGAAGTTCTTCTCCTGCATGTCCATCGGCGGCTACATGGCCGCCCGGTGTTCGTCTTTGGCCACCAGCGCCTGGCTACACATGACAAGGAATTCACACCTATTTTGGTGTGAACGACATTCTGATGTTCAACTGTATCGAGACCGATTTCTTTTCGGTCATCTTCTTCTTCGTACATATGTGGACCCTAGGCCAGAGTCGGCCTGGTTCATATTCAGAAGTGGCCGGCAGGACTATGGCATCGTCGGGCCATTCGAAAGGGTTTTTTGGAGCTCTCTTGGAGCGTCTTGGGGGCCTTTTCGGGCGCGTTGAAATCATGTGGAGCCGTCTTGGAGACATCTTGGGCGAACTTGGAGGCCTCTAGACCTCTTGGGCCGCGTTTGAAGTAATATTCTGCCGTCTTGGGGCGCCATCTCCATTTTGTGAGGAATTCTCAATCGAAACGATTGATTTGGGCCGAGGGGATGGTGTCCGTCCAAGTCCGTCTGTGTGGCCGGCGGGTCATGACGAAGAACATTGGGGATTTTTCAACCAGGTTATACAGTTATGCAGCACAAATTTCGGCACACCATGCAGCTCTGTGATAAAGTCAACAGGGGACGGCAGATCGAAGACGCCTGCGGCGAAGACGGCGACGACGACGACGACGACGACGCCCGAGCTTCCGGAGGGGCCCCGGCAGGCTGCTGCCCCCCGTCGCTGCGCTGGGGGGCGAGGTGCTCCGGAGACCGGGCAGCCACACGCCGCTCCGGCCCCGACCGGGACCACGGTATTAGCGGGGGCGGCAAAGAGGGAGGCGATGGTTGGGGGGGATCTCATGGCGAGGGCCATCACATTTCCCAAGATTTCATGGCGCCTCATCTTGTTTCAATACGTCCCCGTCTCCCCCCCTGGGCCGCGCACATGCCGCCGGCCATGATTTGCGCCCCCCCCTCTTCGACGCCCCCCTCTGGGCCGCCCCCGATATTAGCGGGCGAAGAACGATGCAAAGTAATTGTTTTCGCTGTCGGGGGCGCCTGTCCTACGGCTGGAAAGTTTATACCCTTACGGTGGCACGTCGAGGTATAAACTTCCCAGCCGCCCTGGGGCAGCGCTCCCGGCGACGCGACGTTGCCCGCGAAAGGCAGCCCCAGTTAGTCTCAACGGGCCCACTGAGTATTGCGGGGCGGTCTCACGACCCTGGCGCCGCCTCTCGCTGCGCCCCTAGGGCGTTCCGCGCCCCCACGGTTGGGGTGTCGACACCGCCCTGGACTATTGGGGGGTCCGTTGAGGACTCGGCCCGACGCCTTACCAGACCCACCCCCGGCCCCCCAGGCTGGTGCACGCTGGTGTTCCCATCGCCATGTATTTTTTCTCGGCGAGAACCATCGAGGACCATCCTGGACAATCGCGCAAAAAAACACTCACGAAACCGAGCAAAACACGGGAAATGGACGTCCGAGCGACGGCAAAGTTTGGGATGGAGCACCGCACCGCATCGCCGATCGCGGGAAGCGATTCAGAAAACTTGTTTTGTGTGATCCTCAACACCGAAACGAAATAATCCGCGGGGGCGAATTCAGCGAAGCGATATCTGTAGCACCGCACCAAGCTGCAACAAATAGAGAATGATTGCCCGCCTTCGGCCGCAAATGCTCCTTTTGTTCCTTCCTTCGACCGTAATTATTGCTTCTCTCTTCGACCGCAAGTCACCGGGTCCTCTCCTTCATCCTCCTCCTCCTCCCCCTTCTCCGTTTCACTTTCCTCCTCATTGCCCCTCATTCCTCACCGCCCCTGTCCTATACGATTCCTATTGAAATGCCCAGAAAATGTATTTCCGTCGGCCGTCCGAATGGATGATCCACCCCAGGGTACCGCCCCCGCCCAACAAGGAACGTGATCCTCGCCTAGGGGAACGCCGAGAATAGAAAATTCCCGTCCACGACATAATGAAAAATGCACTTAGAAGTAGCACGAGTTGTGGTAGTAGTAGTGGTAGTGGTGGTGGTGGTGGTGGTGGTGGTGGTAGTAGTAGTAGTAGTACTAGTACTAGTTCTAGTACTAGTACTAGTAGTACTAGTAGGATTACTAGTACTAGTAGTACTAGTAGTACTAGTAGTACTAGTAGTACTAGTAGTACTAGTAGTACTAGTAGTACAGTACAGTAGTACTAGTAGTACTAGTAGTACTAGTAGTACTAGTAGTACTAGTAGTAGTACTAGTAGTACTAGTAGTAGTAGTAGTAGTAGGAGTAGTAGGAGTAGTAGTAGTAGTAGTAGTAGTAGTAGTAGTCGTAGTAGTCGTAGTAGTCGTAGTAGTCGTAGTAGTAGTAGTAGTAGTAGTAGTAGTAGTCGTCGTCGTCGTCGTAGTAGTAGTAGTAGTAGTAGTAGTAGCGACAGTCGTAGTACCCATTGTAGTCGTATTAGCCGTAGTAGTCGTAGTAGCCATAGTCGTAGTGGTACTAGTAGTAGTAGTGGTAGGGGGAGTAGTAGTAGTAGTAGTAGTAGTAGTAGTAGTAGTAGTAGTAGTAGTAGTGATACGTGTAATAGTAGTTGTTGTTATTGTGACACGAGTAGTAGTGGTACAGGTAGTAGTAATAGTAGTAGTAGTAGTAGTAGTAGTAGCAGTATCCGTCGTAGTTGTAGAAGTAGTTGTACTCGTAGCACTAGTAGTTCTAGCAGTAGTGGTAGTAGTAGTACTTGGTGTAATAGTAGGTAGTAGTAGTAGGTGGTAGTAGTAAGTAGTAGTAGTAGTAGTAGTAGTAGTAGTAGTAGTAGTAGTAGTAGTAGTAGTAGTAGTAGTAGTAGTAGTAGTAGTAGTAGTAGTAGTAGTAGTAGTATTACAGTAGTAGTAGTAGTAGTAGTAGCAGTAGTAGAAGTAGTAGTAGTAGTAATTGCGGCAGTAGTAGTCGCAGTCGCCGTCGTCGCCGTAGTCGTAGTCGTAGACATTGTCGTCGTCGGTGGCGTCGTTGTCGCTGCCGTCGTCGTCGCTGTCCTAGTAATAGTAGTAGTCGTAGTAGTAGTAGTGGTAGTAGCCGTAGTAGTCGTAGTAGTCATCGTCGACGTAGAAGCAGAACTAGTAGTAGTAGTAGTAGTAGCACGATTAGTAGTTGTAGTAGTTGTAATAGTAGCACCAGTATTAGTGGTACTTGTAGTAGTAGTTGGAGTAGCTGTAGTAGTCGTAGTGATGGAAGTAGTAGTAGCAGTAGTAGCAGGAAACGTAGTAGTAGTAGTAGTAGTAGTAGTAGTAGTAGTAGTCGGCGCCGTCGTAGTAGTAGTAGTAGTAGTAGTAGTAGTAGTCGTAGCCGTAGTCGTAGTAGTAGTCGTAGTAGCAGTAGTAGCAGTATACCAATGGTAGCAGTTGTACTTTTAGTAGTAGCAGTAGTCGTAGTCGTAGTAGTAGTCGTCGTATCAGTAGTAGTAGTAGCAGCAGTCGTAGTAGCAGTAGTGGTGATCATCGTCGTCGCCGCCGCCGTCGTCGTAGTAGTAGTCGTAGGAGTAGTAGGAGTTGAAGAAGTAGAAGTAGTATTGAAAGTAGTAGCAGCAGCAGCAGCAGTAGCTGTAGTAGCAGGAGTTGTCGTAGTCGTAGTAGTCGTAGTCGTAGTCGTAGTAATAGTAACAGTGGTATTTGAAGTAGTAGTAGTAGTAGTAGTAGTAGTAGTAGTAGTAGTAGTAGTAGTAGTAGTAGTAGTAGAAGTGAGAGTAGTAGTAGTAGTAGTAGTAGTAGTAGTAGTAGTAGTAGTAGTAATAGTAGTAGTAGTAGTAGTCGTAGTAGTCGTAGTAGTAGTAGTAGTCGTAGTAGTAGTAGTAGTAGTAGTAGTAGTAGTTGTAGTAGTTGCAGTACGAGTAGTAGTGGTAGTAGTAGTAGTAGTAGTAGTAGTAGTAGTAATAGTAGTAGTAGTAGTACTCGTACTAGTACTAGTACTAGTACTAGTACAGTACTAGTACTAGTACTAGTACTAGCACTAGTACTATTACTATCACTAGTACTAGTACTACTGCGCCGATCCGAAAGTTTCCCAAATTTCGCCACCGTGCCGGCCGCGGCCACCTGGGGTGGCGCGCGCGGGACAAGACCCGCGGGGCCCGAGAGCGGATGGTGTTGATGTCGCGAGGGCAGAGTCGGCGCGCCGATGGGCAGGCAGCCCAGCGCCCCGTTTGGCCGGAGGGGCCCAGTACAATGCAAGGGCAAAGCCTAACCCCCGCTTGGGGTCTGGGATCGGGTTCCCCTTCCCAATCTAAAATTTTAAATCCCAAACCGTGTACTGACCCGAAAATGAGCAAACGGCACAGGACTTCCTCGAAAGAAGCTTTCGGGTTCGGTCATGCGCCGACCCGAAAAGTTTATCGGCCGACCTGAAAGTGGCCAAATCCCACAGGACTTGTGCCCGAAAAAATTCTGGTCCGGTTCGAACGACCCGAAAATGTGCAAACCGCTTAGGACCCCATGCAAAAACATCGTTCTCGAGGTCGTCGGGCCCGCCCCGAAGAAACCGAGCATGGGCAAACCGGCTATAACTTCATATCAAAAACGGTTTCTCGGTGGTTCCGGGCCTCGTCCTTAGGAGCCGCCGATGGGCAGACCGCTCAGGACTTCCTGCGCAAGAAACTGTGTCCCGGGTGAGCCATTGTCAACGGGAACGCCCCCCGCGCGGGATCGGGGTTCGCGCGGGGGCGCGGCTGCTCTCGCGTGTCCAGGGGGCATGCATTGTCGCGCCGTTCGAGCATTGCGTTTGCGCTGCATTCGCGCGGCGCCGTGCCTCTCAAATCGGAATAAGCTTTCGGAGCGCCGATGTAATACTATTTAGTACTAGTGCTCGTACAAGTACTCGTAATTCTAATACTAGTAGTACTAGTACTAGTACTTGTTGTTGTAGTAGTACTACGAGTAGTAGTAGTAGTAGTAGTAGTAGTAGTAGTAGTAGTAGTAATAGTAGTAGTAGTAGTAGTAGTAGTAATAGTCGTCGTAGTCGTAGTCGTAGTCGTAGTCGTAGTCGTAGTCGTAGTCGTAGTCGTAGTCGTAGTCGTAGTAGTAGTAGTAGTAGTAGTAGTAGTAGTAGTAGTAGTAGTAGTAGTAGTAGTAGTAGTAGTAGTAGTAGTAGTAGTAGTAGTAGTAGTAGTAGTAGTAGTAGTAGTAGTAGCAGTAGCAGTAGCAGTAGCAGTAGCAGTAGCAGTAGCAGTAGCAGTAGCAGTAGCAGTAGCAGTAGCAGTAGCAGTAGCAGTAGCAGTAGCAGTAGCAGTAGCAGTAGCAGTAGCAGTAGCAGTAGCAGTAGCAGTAGCAGTAGCAGTAGCAGTAGCAGTAGCAGTAGCAGTAGCAGTAGCAGTAGCAGTAGCAGTAGCAGTAGTAGCAGTAGCAGTAGCAGTAGCAGTAGCAGTAGCAGTAGCAGTAGCAGTAGCAGTAGCAGTAGCAGTAGCAGTAGCAGTAGCAGTAGCAGTAGCAGTAGTAGTAGTAGTAGTAGTAGTAGTAGTAGAAGTAGTAGTAGTACTATAAGTAGTACTATAAGTAGTAGTAGCAGTCGTAGTATCCATCATTTTCGAGTAGTCGTAGTCATTATTCGAGCAGTAGTAGTTGTGACGGGCCCAGCTTGGTGCGGTGCTACGCAGATCAGAGCGGGACCTCGCCGTTCTTGGGGGGGTGCGAATTGCGAAATTCTCGCCCAGGAATGCTGGAGGCTCCAGAGGAGTGCTAAGCAACGGCCAAGTGCCAGGGTGCCAGGGTGACGCTTCAGTATGCTGGATGCGTTATCGTTTCACCGGAAAGGGGGAGGTACTCTTAATCGCTGACCCAGGTCATCCGATGCGGCTCGATCACGAGTCCGATGTTCTCGGTTCGACGTCGCTGGTGCATCGTGGATGAATCGGCGACGCGGTGCGGCTGTCCGAACCCGTTCCAGTATCGCTCGAGACTTCCGCGCTGAGCACGCTGACGAGTGGAGCGGCAATCTGATCTGTGCACCCTCTCCTGGCGCCTCCCCCTCCCCCCACTCCGAATGAACCCTCGGAGGTGAACTTTCCCGGTCCAGGGCAGGACGGCCCAAGGGGCATCCCAGGTCGGGCGAAGAGAACTATGCACATGCACTGATCCGGACAACTCCCATCCTTGACCCAGGGGGGCCCCAGGACGGGCCCAACCGGGGCTCTGGACACGGCGCTGGAACCGGCAAAGGTACGGGAAAACGGGAATACGGAACCGGCAAATAAGCAGTTTTGTCGTTTCCAGGGCTAATTGAGATCCAGAAAACAGCCCCGCCAAACAAGGTGAGCATTATTCTTTTTTTGACTTCCTCAAGACGTGGTTTCGGATTGCCGATTTCCGAAGGTGTGGGTCGTCAACGTCTTCCTGCAGCTGCTCTGCTTCGCGGAGGTGGTGTGCCTGGTCTGGGCCAGCCCAGAAGGGGCGTTCTTTTGTTGACCATCCTTTCATTGGCATGCAGGAGGGAAAGGCACCACGGAGAGAAGGAACGAGAAGAGAAGAAAGAGAAGGATGAGGAGGAGGAAGAGGATTTCCAAGATTTCCGCCATCCCATGGGGCAAAAAAGGTTGAGATCAGGCGCGAGTTTTCGGCCCGAGCGATCCAATCGACGTTTTCTTGTCGGGTCCTGAAGGCTGACAGTGTGCGCGGCCTGCCTAGGCCCCTGGGCTGGTCCTGACCGAAATAGAGGCGCGTGCCACAGTACCGTATGTTCAGGGAGTGGTGATCAATAAAGGCGTCTGAAGGGTCGGCCCAACCTCCAGCAGCTAAGTGTAGCATATGTCCTCGGGGGACTCGGGATAAGCTACCGTTCACACAGCGATGTCGAAAGCACTCATTTTTCAACCCTTCAGACAAACACGCCTTGATAGCTGAACCTTCACATACGCTGCACGACCCCCCACTGTCGGTCAGGGCGCGCGCGGATGCGAAGCTTGCAACAACTACAGGAGGAGGAGGAGGAGGTTTCTTGAGCTTGCTTCTGGGAGCCTCCTCACTGTCGTGGCTGGTCTGCGGCGCGGCGGTAGAGTCTAGACCAGATCTGAGCAAACGTCTCCTCACTACGTTGGCCTTGTGCTCAACATGGGCCACCTTAACGCGGCCCGCCAAGGGAATCCGAGCACGCAAGGCCGCCTCCTTCGCTAGTGTGTCAACAACAGTGCTACCTTGAATTAGCCATCTCGACCACCTCCGTGAGGTAACCTCCGCCCCTTCGAGGTGAGAAGCTTGAATGATTGAAACCAGAGATGGCTACCTAGCCCGCCGGCCCAGAATGTCACGAATGGCTCTCACAGAACAGCCTGCGGGCCCGAGGGTGTACGAAACTGGCCATCAGACCAGCCTCCCACAACCTCAGCACAATCAGCAACGTGCACAAGCACCCTGTCGAGAATCCGACGGCCCACTCGAAGGCCTGGAGCCCCCCACGGGGCACGGTCTGCATGACGCTTCCACGAGCGGTCCGAGCAGGTGAGGTCCGAGCGACAGCGGAGCAGAATAGCAAACGCGAGCTGTGGCAAGCCCGACACCACGGAGCTTGCAGTCACGGGTGTCTGTGCCCCCCGAGGCGTCCCCGAAGACCACGACGGGGTCTTTGGCGGAGCCGCTTCCCAGACAAGCAGGCGCAACACTGCCACCTCCAAGGAGCCCGTTGCTTGCCCGATACTCCGACGAGGGCGGCGGGGTCACCGAGGTCCACGGAGCCGGCATCAGGCCCGGCATCCAAAAACAAACGCTTCGTGATTGGCGGCAGCTTTTGGGAGTAACGAAGCGAACTTAGTATAAGCAGGCGAATTCCGTCTTTCTCGCAATGTCAACTGCAATGCAGCAGCGTCGTTTTTCGGCAAGTCTTGCCACTGCAACGTGAACAAAGACCAGATTCGCTCAAATTCGCATCTTGACTCCCGGCTTTGGCCCAGAAGCTTCCAGAATCCATCGATACCATTAATTCTGACAACTGACCTCCACGATCGGCCTGCATGAGGTCAGCCACAAATTTACGGTAGTATTGCATGTCCACGCCATCCCCGAGACCTTTTCCACAATACAAGTCAGCGGCTTGTCACCACTGCTTCAGCTCCATGGTGTCTTGCAGTTCGTTGAGAGGGGCGTAGCCTGACCAAGTTCTCACGAAGTCGTCACTCCCGAATCTCCCACAGGAGCTCTCTTGAGCACCTTCACCTGGCACACCCCATTCTACTGGCGAGGCTGGCTTCCACCCCATTCCCAACAGGTACAGAGAATGACCGTGGACATCGCACTTCTGATGCGCCTGATCCTAAACTCAGGCTCGATTCCCATCGCGCGCTTGCGCGCCACTGGCCATGCTAGTGGCATTGATCCCCTCGACTGCGGCTCTTCCAACCAGACCGTCAGCCAGAGAGACGCGCGCTGCCGAGGAAGACGGGTCTTGGCATCGCTCGGACGTGTGCATTTTTTCTCGGCGAGAACCATCAAGCACCATCTTGGACCATCGAGCAACAAAAACGCACGAAACCAGAAAAAGGCACGGGAAATGGACGTCCGAGCGACGGCAAGATTTATCCTCACCCGAGAGTAGGTTCGCTTTGGTTTCGTCTTAGAGAGCTCCTGGATATGCTCCTGGCGATCTCATGGCCAAGAGCGCGGTGAGGCAGCGGCTCCTGCTTGGAAGAGCCAGCCTCCGCCCCCGAGCGTCTCCTATGCGTCAGTATGCGGTTGCCGAATTGCCCGTAGACCTGGCGGTCGCAGACCGCTGACGCTTGAGGACCCGCACGCTGCAGCTTCCTTTTCGTCGGTGGCCACCCGCGAACCCTACCCCACCACCCCACGACTTCTGAGAGGGTAGCTGGGGTTCACATCGCTCGGGAGGTCTCGAACGTAGTGATCCCCGCCTTTGCCCCTAGAATTGTGCCAGTCGGTGAGTGGAGGAAGCACGCTGCCAAATAATTTCCAAATGTCTAAAATGTGGGCAAACATGTTTCAAAGATTAAAAACATGGTTGAAACATGTTGAGAGCATGGTTTACACATGTTAAACACATGTTTAATTCAGTGATCGGACTGTTAGAGTGTCCATTGTCATGGCATCCACAACCCCAGAAATCGTGGCGTGGTGGGGCAGGGTTCGCGGGTGGCCTCCTGTAGCGAAGAAGGGTGCAAAATAGGTTGTTCCGCCGTCGGGGGCGGTTGCCTCCTGGCGGCTGCAAAGTTCATGGCATCGCTCGGACGTGTGCAGGTTTCCTTCGGCGAGGACCATCGAGGAGCATCCTTGATCGTTTGGCGAGAAAACCACGCACGAAGCTGAAAAAAACACAGGGCATGGACGTCCGAGCGATGGCGAGAGCTTGTACCCCTATTATGTCACGTAGGGGCACACATTTTCCAGCCGCCCAGGGGGCAGGCGTTGTCGACGGCGGAAAAGTTGATGTTATACCGTTCTTCACCCCCGAATTCCTAAAGTCCCGGTGGCGTACCACCTCCTCGCTGTTCGCGCGAACCTCTTCGGCCGGCCGTGAGACTCGGCAGCCTCGGTGACCCTCTTGCGAATTGCCTCCTTGCCTTGCCGCCGCCCCGCACTCCGACCCATGCCCGGATACGTTGGTTGCAGCAATGCCGACAAAGAGACACCCCGTCTCCTCAATGTTTCCAGCGGCGTCATGGCATCGCATTGATGCACACGTCGCAGTATTTTCAGGGAGCACATCAAGGTCCGATCGCTTGCCTGAGCGGGGGCCAGAACCCCGTTGATGAGTGTGGCGCGGACGTGTTTCATCAGCCTTACAGTTCTTTGCGAAAGATCGTCAATCCAGATCCTCTCGGACATTGACAGATTCAGAATGCACAACTTTCCATATATATATATATATATATATATATATATATATATATATATATACGCACACACAAAAAGGCCGCGAGGCATTTGGCGAATCGCGCCCCGTTCCTCAGCCCTTGCGCCACAGAGCGCGAGGCCTGGGACGGCTCCGAGAAAGAGTCGAGCTGAGCCAGAAGCCTCGGGACACTGCAGAGATGCATCTCCAGGAAGAGGATCATTGGCGGGAAGGCCTTCTTGACGGCACACGACGCCAGTTACGCCCCTTCGACGCCGAAGGCTTCCACGTCGAGCGGGGGGGGGAAGACGAGACTCCAGAACAAAAATATGGGGGAAGATTGGAATTTGTGTAGGGCCTCTTTAGAAGAAGCCCCTCCTGCGGCAGGCGCCCGAATTCCCGCCGGCGACAGGCGACTCGCGCCCCAGAGTCCGCAGTGGCCTTCACGCTGCTGGGCGGCCCTCAACGCGTCGGCGAACGGAGGCACGAGCCTCTCGACTTGCGCCCGGACGAAGCCGAAGGACAGTGCGCATGGTATCCTCGCGCGTGGCCGATCCTCGCCGCAAAGATTGCCACCTCGCCAGGCCTCCCAGATGGGGTCGGAGCAGATGACGTCGGAGGAGCGCGCCGCATCGCCGATGCGGCTCGATGTGGAGCCTGATTTCCTCCAAGCCGACGTCGACGATGCATCGCCAGTGCATCGCCGATGCATCGTCGATGCATCGTCGATGTATCGGCGACTCGGCGCCATCCTCCGACCCCATCTAGGAGGTTTCTAGCCTCTCGATTTTCTTGTCGATGATGTCCCTAGGATGGCCCAGCGTGGTGTCGTCACGCCGAACTCGTCCGGCGCCGGGCCCTCACCACCGATGTTGCGATGGACCTGACCGTGTGAAGCCGATGAGTGGATCCAGTCTTGGAAATCCCTCAAAGATGACGTTGCCGCTCGGCTCTGCGCGCACCTAGCAGCACGAAAGCAGATACCTTCCCAATTGGACAACTGCTCGACCGACAAGCCCGCCGGGCGCGTCAACTCAAGCAGTGGCGAAGCGTCCTGGCCTCTCCTATAGGCCCACCAAAGAATGTTCTAAGAACCGTTCGTGGTCTGCGCGACATGTTCTTAGAACATGTCTGGCCGATTTTGCCTTCGTTTAACACATCGGGTTATGTTCTAAGAACATCGGTCTTGTCCGGAGAACAGGTTCAGGTTCTAAGAATATCTCGTGGTAGGCCTATAGGAATGCCAGGACGGTCGGTCCCTGCTCAATCAACGCCACCAGCAAGTCGTTCCTCGTTTCTCGCGAGGGTGGAAGTGTGGCGCCCGGTCCATCGAACGGTTGGTCCGCCAGACGTCTTGAGGCAAGCGACAGTTGCAACACGTGCGAGACTCCGCTACCTCTGCGGCGATGCTTCCGAGCTCTCTGGGTCACCGCGCGCAGCCTCCCCCCCACCGCGCCGCCACCCCATCCTTGAGAGGCTTGCTGCGGACGTGCTCGGCTTGACGAACTGGCACCACCTGCAGTCTGCATCCTGCATGGGGTGATGTGCCTGTCGCTTCCATGCCGCGATGCGTGGAAGTAGCGCGCTCCACCGCGCCGATCTATCGCGAGAACCGAGCGCCGATGGGAAAAACGTGATGCTCGCCAACTCGATAGGCGAGCGAGTCTCTCGTGGCCGACCGAGCGACGGAAGAAGAGCACGAGTGCCACAGAACGCGGGCCGCAGCAGCTGCCCGCACCATGGAACGAAGCAGGAGTCGTATCAGCAACAGCAGCGTGGAAAGGTCAAGTTGGTCCCCGACCGCGTCGAGGTCCGAGTTCCCGAGGCCGCTTGCAGAGGCCATGCCCTTCCTATACATTAGTGGCAACTGGAACGCCCCCTTCCAGAGGACTCGGCGCGCCCTCTTCCGACAGGCCGCTCGGGGATGTTGGCAGCAGGACAGAAGCAAGACTCCTCGGCCCAAGAATCTGTCACCGACCGCGTTCCACTACTCGCAAAGTGCTTACTCGCAAGCGTCCGAAACAAGCACACGTTCTCCTCGATGTTATGGACTGTAAATCCTCCGCAGCTGATCCAGGCCATTTGCGAGTAGTGGCTTTGCGAGTGGTGGGACGCTCTTGCCCAATCTAAGCCGCGCCCGTCGGGGCATTCCACGGGATCCGAAGGCGTTTCGTCCGCAGCACCTCTGGGGCCAGGCACCTCGGGCGCCCCCCCCTCCCCCCCTGGCCGGGCCGACCAGGCCTCGCCGCGGGACACGCGCCCGAGCAAGACAAAAAGCAGCACGAGGGGCCGTGGACCGCTCTTTTTGCTATGTGCGGCCGTCTCCAGTTGAGGTGCTTGGGCTAAGCTTGCGTCGGGCATGTCCCTCTCCAGGAGGACGACTCGAGAATGGTAAAACATAGTCTAGGGGCGATGTTTCGTGCTCTTCGTACTATCTGTGACCGTGTATTGATTGTGTGTATCTGTCTTCCAAAATCCGCCTGTAAGAGGACATGCCCGACCTAAGGCTACGCCATTCTTGGACCCCGTGGTAGGACTCGCTATGGGTCGCGGGACCCGAGGCAAACTTGGACAAACGCATCATCAGTTGTTGCCCTACGCCTGAGGGTTTTGTCTCTCATGCACGAGGGATCCAGGGAACATCGGCAGCCGCCGAGGCATTGCGGATATCAGGCAAGCAATATCCGTGAAGTTCCACCAATATCGGCATGCGAACCCCTTGCGAACCTTACGCAAGTGAATTCGGCATGTGCCCGCACGGTGAATCCTGAGACTCTCTTCAAGAACGCCGACTTCTTGAACGCACCGAGGTCAATGTTGAAATGTCCGACTATGAACCAAGGACGCTGAATTGATTGAATGAACGCTCCTAGTTTGGCGAAACGTTGCAGGTGATATCTGGTGAATCCGACCGGAGGATGGGCCTCGAAAATGATCGCGATGGCCGAAGATCCCGCCACGTGCAACGTGACAGGCAAGAAACCGTCGAGATCGTCTGAGCCCTCTGCACAAAAATGGTGTACAAACTAGATGTGTGGTACACTCGATGAACATGACGGTGCCCTTGCGCCAAGAAGAGTTCCGTTCCTTCGTTGGTGTTATTTTCTGAGGCACGTGTCCTGTGGCACGAGATGGGGTTGGCTACGAATTTAAGTTTGATGTCGCTGGCCTTCCGCGCCCACTCTGCACCAGTGCGGCAGCCAGCTTTGTGTTCAGAAAGTTTGATGTATTGGTACATCTTCAGAAATGCACCCGAACTGATGCGGCTCCAAGCTTTCGGGCCTAGACGAGTGACGCTCGTAAAGAACATGCTGCACGGCTTAGAATATGGAACGCCAACATCATCGGCAGCAGTTGCCGACTGGGACCGACGCGCTGGCCTCGCCCATTGGGGCGGCTGGCAGCAATGACGGCTGGGAGGACGAGGGAGCCGCTGGGCCTTCGACCGCCGCGCCTGATCAGAGATCGCCACCGCCGTTGCCCCTCCAGCCTCAGCGGCTGCCCTGGTCTTCCCCATCACTGTCTCTTCCTCCTCCTCCTCCTGCTCCTGCTCCTCCTCCTCCTCCTGCTCCTGCTCCTCCTCCTCCTCCTCCTCGTCCTCCTCCTCCTCCTCCTCCTCCCCCTCCTCCTCCTCTGTCTGGATCTCCGCTCCCGACGGCACTCCATGCAATGGCGGGCCCGCTGCCGCCGTTGCGATTGTTGCGGTTGCCGACTGGTGCGCGGAAGGTGCGTTGCTGGTTGCGGTTGCCGCATCGTTTTGGCTCTTGCTTTCATCCACGGTACGTCTCTTCACCTTGCGTTCTGCGATTGTCTTCTGCAACTCCAGGGTCTGCGTGCGCCATTTGATGACTTGCTCCGCCCTGGACTGCAAAATCTCCTTGGCGGGTCCACGCTACCGCTCGAGCCTCTTCAACTGTGCCTTCTCCTCCTCCCCCGCAGTCCAGCTCGTCGTCCTGGTCGAAGAAGCTGGCGTCCGGGAGAGGTCGATGAGCGGCGCCTGGGGCGGACTCGGAGTCCCAGCAGCGGCAGGCGGCGGCATCAGGCTTGTCTCCTTCTCCAACGCGGCCGCCGTTCCGCGCTTGCTGAGCCCCGCCACCGCCAGGGCGCGCGCCGTCTCCTCCTCGCGCTCGCGAGCACGCTGGAGGTTGGCGATGCACCTCTGCTCCTGCGCCGTCGCCTGCCCGTGCTTCGCCCAATCGTCGCGGTAGGCCCCCGCCGCTAGGCGCACCGCCTCCTCGGCGGGCACCTCGGCGGGACCAGTTGCACCGAGGGATTCTTCACGGCAGCGGGCGCGGCCTCAAACGTCTTGACGGCGTCGGTCGGACTTGACACAGCGCCGCGCAGTTTGTCCGAGCTCTCGGGCGGCACGTTCGCCGTCTCGGGCTCGAACAGGATGAGCTGCGCTCCGCACTGGCACGTGCACTGCCTCACCTTCAAGCGACCGCCCACTCGCACCTGCCGCAGCTGTGGCATTTGATCCAGGGGGGCGAAGATGACGGGGCGGCAGGCGTTTGTTGTTGGTGAGTCTTCTTCCCTTGGGCCACTGCGTCCCTTTGGCCAACCAGCCCTGACCGTCCGAACAAAAGTGCAGAAAGCTTGGACGGTGACTGGTGCCCCTCAAGCACCACGTAGGAGGCGGACGCTCGCTGCCCAGGCAAAACGTTCGGGCCAGAGCGGCTAAAGAGGAAGAGGAGGAGGAGGAGGACTAAAGAGGAAGAGGAGGAGGAGGAGGAGGAGGAGGAGGAGGAGGGGGAGGGGGGAGGAGGAGGAGGAGAGGAGGAGGAGGAGGAGGAGGGAGGAGGAGGAGGAGGAGGTGGAGGAGGGAGGTGGAGGAGGAGGAGGAGGGGGGGGAGGGGGAGGGGGGGGGGAGGGGGAGGGGGAGGGGGAGGGACGAGAAGGAGGAGGAGGGACGAGAAGGAGGAGGAGGGACGAGAAGGAGAAGGAGGAGAGAACCCCCAAGGTGGAGGAGACGCAGGAGGAAAGAGGTAGGAGGAGGACGAGGTGGAAAGAGAGGTGATGAAGGCAGCGCCGAATGTTTCAAGTACCGACGCATCCCATCTGAGGGTGAATGAATTGCCACGCTTCCGCGTCCAGGCAAAGCCGAGTCATGCCACGTATCTCCTCGTCAGGCAGTTTGACCGTTGCGGGCCACACCAGGACAGCTTGGTACAGGTACTGCTCGGTCCCCATTCGGAAGCGAGGGCGATCAAATGCGAGGCAGGTTCGCTTGGCTCTGGCTCAGTGGAAGCAAAAAGTCTTGAACACAGTAACACCGTGACACAATAATGCGTTCCGTGCAAAGTCTGTGACTCAAGCAAAGTGTGTTGCTTTCAGTGACACGTTTGATCTCAGGGAAATATCGGGTCGGGAGAGGGGGGGATAGCAAAGGGGGGGTTGAGAATCAGCTCACGTAACTGATTTTCCCGGCGCCTCCCGGTGCCGGAGGCGGCGATGTATCGAGGAATGGTCCTTTCGGTGAAGCCGAAACCAGCTGCATGCATCCCCTTTCGTCCGGCCCGAAAATAGCTGCTTTCAGTGACATGAAACGTTTGCTCTAAGTGAGACTGCCCGTCGGTCCCAGGGTGAGGTCAGCTCCACCGTCGGGGATCGGTCTGCCCCCAGCTTGCCGCCGCCCCCCCCTCTCCTCCTTCTCCTTCTCCTCCTCCTCCTCCTTCTCCTCCTCCTCCTCCTCCTCCTCCTCCTCCTCCTCCTTCGCCTCCTCCTCCTCCTTCTCCTAATTCTCCTCTTCCTCCTCCTCCTCCTCATCATCATCCTCCTCCTCCTCCTGCTCCTTCTCCTCCTCCTCCCCCTCCTCCCCCTCCCCCTCCTCCTCCTCCTCCTCCACCTCCTCCTCCTCCCCCCTTCGCCCCGAGGTCTGCGGGCGGCACGGGCCGGGGCGCCCCCGGGCCGTCCTGGCGGCGGTCTGGATGGGCAGCGTGGCGCCGCTGGCGATGGCGACCCTGTGGACGCGCCTCCCAAAGGGAAGGGCTCATCTCGGTTCCTCCGATGCGCGATGTCGATGGCCTCCGATTCCGATTCGATTTGACTTCGAATTCCGATCTGGGCTCCGAGTTCTCAAAGGAGGCTTCCTAGCTTGCCGATTTCCGCCGATTCGACTTCTCCCGACTCGGCTGCCAATTTTCGCCGATCCGATTCATGTCGCTCGCCGATCCGACTCGTCGATTCGATTCTGGGCTCTCCTGAAGTGGGGTGTCATCTGGGCAGGTGCGGTCGAAGGAAAAACTGCGCCACGGCAACAACCAGACTAGAGAGAGCCAAGCTCCCCCCCTCCACCACCTGGCCTAAACATCAAGGCCAGGGAGCGAAATGGGAGATCATGCGAAGTAGTTTCCCGACGTGTGTTGCAAATGCTGTTTCTTTCAACGCTATGGCACCCCACCCCAAGGGGCGCAAAGGCAACCGTCATGAGCCCCAACCCCCTCGCGTCGTGACAAAAAATCGCGGCGGGAGTGTTCGTATACGTAGCACCCCGTGATTGTGGATGAGAGTGAGGGGGCGGGGTGCGTCGCGATGGAGCCAGCGTTGCACATTGCTGCAGGACCAGTTCTTTGGATAATCTGTTTCACACAATTGACTAGGTAGCCTGGCATGCACTAACATAATTACGTAAATGTTAACGCAGGCATGTAATGTGCCGTATAGCCCATGCCCATCTTGCCGCTCCAACAGGACTGCCGCTGCCGTCAACATGACGCCGCGGAGCGTATCCGCCAGAATGGCGGACCCCCTCGAAGCGTTCCTGACCGGCTCGGCCACCACCGCGGTGCCCGTTGCTGTCATGGCAGCGTTCGCCATCCTCACGACGGTGATCGGCACGGCCCTCGCCAAGCGCCAGTTCATCACCGGCATGATCGGCGAGCCGTCCGAGCGAGGCCGGCTCCTGATCAGCCTCGGCGTGCTGGGCGTGCCCTCCGCGATAGCCTTGTTCGGCGGAGACCTGTTCTACCGCGCAATGGCGTTCTGCGGAGGACTCGGCGGCTGCAAAGGGCATGGCTACGCCGGGGCGGGGTTCGCGAACTGGGTCGTTAGGGCGTGGGGGGGCACCGCGTTGCCATCGTCGGGCCTCCTCGGGGCGCGGCGGAGAGCTCTGTCGAGGTCCTCGCCCGCCCCCCAGGGCTGCCTCCCAGAGTGCCAGTTGCGAACCACACCCTTGGCAAACCACACCCTTCGGAGTCGGCGAAGGATACCCTGCGCTTCTGCTCTATGGCGTGGCCCCCCCGTGGCTGTGCTGGCGGCTGCGGCGGCAGGACGCCGCGGCGCCCGGGCGGAGCCGGGTGCGGGCGTTGCTGCCGGGCGGGTCCTTCGCTCTGTGGTTGCTCTCCGCCTGCGGGCTGGGAGTCCTGCTCACGAATTCGGGGAGACGTAAGGTTCGAGTTCGCCGGAGCCCGGGCTGGCCGACGCTATTTGACGGGCCCGTCCTGGAGTTTGACGGTCCAGTTGTTGCGGGGTGTTTGTGTTGCAGGAGAACGCGTCAGGTTTCAGTCTGGGTCTCACCGTGTTACGCACGGCCCCGTCAGGCCAGCCCAGGTCCCCCGAGCCTGAGTCCTACATCTCCCCGAGAATATTTCCATTTTTGCCGCTTCAATGTTGAGGGCTCGCGGCTTATTGTAGTAATTCGTCATGCGGGCCATCCATGTGGGGTGCGAGCAGATGGGGTCGGAGGATCGCCCCACATCGCAGATGCATCGGCGATGCAGCTCGATGTGGAAACCGACGTTCTCCACGTTGGCGGAGTCGATGCAACGGCGAGGCTGGGCGATCCTCCGACCCCATCTGATAGGACCCCATGTAGAAGGCCTCTACGTCAGCAGCCATGACGGTTGTGGCCAAAGGGGATTGCGCACGCGAGTTCTGTTTATATACTGGATTATCGCCCGTGGGGTCAGCGCAGCGCGTCATTCAGGGATTGCACCGCTGGCATTATAGGGGACCTTTGTCGGGATGTAAAGCTCAGTTGTGTCACGGTGTGGCGTGCAGCAACTACACAATACCTCCAGTGTCTTCTGTGGTTCAGAGGGTCTTCCAGCGCCGTGGATACAATGGAGTTATCCGAGCTTGCATGGCTGCCTTCGAAGCATCCGAAGCGAAGACGGTCAGAACGATGGCGATACCAGGTGAGAACAGGCAGTGCACAGGTGGCCAGCAGGAGATCACGAAGATTGGCGAATTGTGATCGAGGCAGTGTGCCAACTGAGCGTGGCCCCCTGGCTGGATTTCCATTACAGGAGGATGACAGGCCTCAGAGTTCTAGGCCGTCCGCAGGGGGCGCGAAGGAAACCGCGCCTCGCGGTCTAGTCGGAGGGCTGCTCTTCTCCATTGGGCGGCCCGAGGGCGCGACGAGAGTCGTTGTCCGTGGGGTCTTCATCCTCCTCCTCCCTCCTCCCTCCTCATCCTCCTCCTCATCCTCCTCCTGGATGTGGTGCTCATCCCCCGCGGACAGCATGAGACTGGTCTTCTCCCAACGCTGCGCATCCGAGCTGGGCGAACGGGGAGCGCGCGAGCAGGCGAGTTTGGGAGTTCTCCACCCCCTCCCGGAACCACCAGGGTGCAACCGGTGCGCCTCTCGGGCTCACGAGGTTGGCGGGATGTCTTTTCTTGCTCGGGCACAAGTGCAGGGCCAGGGACCTCGATGCAGTCGATCAGCTCTTTCCCAGCTGGGCATTTTTGGGATTTGGGTCACCCGCGGTGGCGCGAAGGCGGCGTTTTCTGTGAGTCGCGGTCCGGGCGGCAAGAGTGCCTTCTCCCAGGGGGTCGGCGCGAGAGCGCGAAGGTGGTCGCGAGTCCCACGGCGCAAGGCCCGAAGTCAAGTGACGTAGCCTGGCGTCGCGCACGACGGGGTGGCTGGCGCAAGGTAGGGTGGCCTTCTCAGAAGCTTGGGGGCTTCTTAGGAGGCATTGTCAGGGTACTGCTCCAGGTGAGAGCTGGAGCAAAGTTCGGGGCACGTCTGCCTGGGACAAGTCTGACAGGACACACGTGCAGAATGGAGGTCGAGGAACACATCGAAACTCGCATGGCCTACAGAACTCTCGAGTCCCGCCCCAACACCAGGTATTCGGATATGCCCTGCGCTAGTGAACATGTAGCAACATTGGCGGTGCCAGTTCGCAGCTGTACTCGCCTTTCCGCCCGAGGTCGCCTCGGGTCTGCCTCGGGTCTGCGTGGTGTCCAGGGCCCGCTCCCCGCCCGACGGTCGGCCACGTGAGCCTGCTCGGCTGCGTTGGCAAAGTGACGGAAGGGTGAGGGGGGGGCGGCTCGTTCGACGGGGGTTTTGCGCGACATCTCGAGCAGGAGATCGACTACAAAGCTGATTTACGCGAAATTGATTTCCTCGTCGAATCTACGAGAAAAGTACGTAGAATGTTCGTAGTCCTGTGAACATTCTGCAGCATGTTCGTCGATTCGGCGAGCGAGAATTCCGAGTTTGGGGTAGATCAATTATGTAGTCGATCTCATACTCGAGAAAGGGGGAGCTACATGATGTATAAAATTAGTATGGGCACGATGTTTCTATTATGTGTTTGCTACAGTGGAGCATGTGTTGACTATGCGCCGTTGTTATTCCAACATCCGCCTGCAGGAACACATGCCCGATCTAAGCCCAGGACGGTCATCCTCAGCAGCGGCCGTTTGAAATCGAGGCTTCATCAAAATGGCTTCATCAAAATGTTGATGAAGGGGGGCTGCCTGCATCGAGGCTTGATCAAGCGCCCTGCACCCGCAGGGGGGGGGGGGGGGGGCTGGCGCATGTCTCAGGAGGGTTCCGCTCCAAGACTCCTGGGGGTCCGCTCAGATTCCATTCAGAGAGGCGCTGCAGTTGGGTGACTGCGCTGGGCTTCCCTTCCCCCCTCCCTCCCCCTCCCTCCCTCCTCCTCACCCTCATTAGGGAGGACTCGATCGACTAAGTTGTGATGGTGCCCTCTCATCGGGGCCCCCAGAAGAGGACCCGCGAGTCTGGCAGCTGCTCGCGCTGGGTCTGATTAAGGGAAATCCGCCTTCTCGCAGGAAGTGTACCTGCAACGACCGGGTTTTGTTCGGGAGCCCCTTCATTGTTTCTTCTCGCAGTTTGCGTGCATCGTGTCCTTGATCAAAGAACACCTCACGCTTCATAGCACAACACGCACGATGTCTTTACAACGAAGGAAGGGGTCTTCTCCGAAGAACCTGGATGCTTGAAAAAAGCTCTCTTAGTTGCTGGGAGGAGTTCTAAGAAGCCACCCGCCTTCTTAGGAGCCCCATCCCCTACTTTCTTCGCAGGCAACCCGCTTGCACCACCCCCTCGTGCGCGCCGCCGAGTAGCAGACCCAAATCAACCAATAGTGTCACGCAGGTCCATGGATGTGGGCTGGTGTGGAGCTTGGCCAGGCGCTGTTTAACTGTGGCTTGCCCCGCACGGGTCGGGTCGCCGGTGGGGCACGAGCTGCGCGGGGCTCTCCAGACGAGCAGGGGCAGGGGAAGGAACATCAGGCGCAGCAGGAGGAGCAGGTAAAAGCGGCGCACTGGGAAGCGAGAGCACGGCACAAGCGCACATCCGTTGCGGTCATTTGCAGGGGGCGCGTTGGGGGGATGACAGCCACCTCGTCCTACGCGTTGCCATAAACGCGGCAATTTGCTGCAAGCTACAAGTAACTACTCCTTGTCCCATCCCCCTCTCCTCCTCACCTCATTCTCCCTCTTGTGCCGCCCGTTCTCCACCCCGCGGGAAGCAGGGGAAGGAGGCGCGGCTGGGAGTGGGCCGAAGATGTGGAACCCGGTGCGAGGGCCAGACGTGGCAAACGTCAAGTCGGGAGCCAGTTTGCACGGCGTGTTGGTTTCGCGCACGCCTTGCCATAGATCATGTTACCGGCGAGGTCGATGCATGCACACAAGTGTGATGTTCTGATTTTATGTATGGTGTGTCACAGTCAACCCGCTGAAATTCGGACCGATTTGGGCTCAGGAGGGGCCCTGGTTCTAGAGCCGTTCCTTACATCCTGGTTTGGGGACCTGTTAGTGACCATGGCTCTCCATGGCCAGAGAAGCCGGTTCGTTCCCTTTTTCGTTCTTGTTATTGTAGCACGATGGTCGTATGGCAGATTGTTTTCATGTGTTCAAAGATGAGGTCAACAGCGGGAAGGAACCGACGTATGTATTGTTCCAGAGGCATGTTTCTCTCGAGGGTTGCATCGATCACCATTTGTTTCGTTTTCAGCGTCTCTCGCAAATAATTACGTAATCCATGGTAAGCGTGCTTTATGTCAGGGCTTTTTCTGGGTCCCATAATGCCTTTTATAGCTAACGCTGCCCCTGAATCTCGTATAAGCAACTGCAGTGGGCAATGGTCACTACAGCTTGATGACCATAGTCCGCATTCTGGCAGCTCTGCACTTGCACAGTATTGTGCTACCATCCCCTGCCCTACCGCGAATAGTCTGAGGCTTGCCTGAGGTTGGCGGGTGTCTGAATGAGTCTTGCCAATTTTTTGTACATGATGCATTGGAATGTTTTGCACGCCGCTCGACTTATCAATATCAACACTCAGAGTGCTGAGTGATGTGCAGCGTATCACGAAGAGGATCACGAGGATCACATATTGGTTAGGGAAGCTTGTTTGAGACCCTCGTACGACGGTAATTCAGAGGCCCGTGACATGTTCTTGGGCACTGGTCATCGTGGTGGCTTTTGCGCATGCGCCTCAAACCCAGCATCTTCACCATCACGTCTTCGCTGCCGTCGGCATCGTGGCGAGTCGTTCTGCACTCTTGCCGAAAATCCTCGGGCACGGCCTGAGATCGATCCAGACACATGGGCCAGGCAGGACGGACCGTGCCGAGTGGAGCGCCCTCTTTTTTCTGTCTGGTCTTCCTCCTTCCCCCCTCCTTCCATTTCTACGATGAGGAGGAAGGGCCGGCGACCACGACGGAGCCAGCCGCATGGCTCGAGCTATCCGGCAGCACCGGTGTAGATCTCGATTTGTTTCGAAGCCTATTGTTCGGAATACTTGTTTACCCACACTGTTTGTTTACAAGGGTCAGATGTCTTTCTTCTCATGCCCGTTGAGCGAGCCCTGAAGTGCGGTGGCCCATCGTGCCCCTCCCCAGCGTGGCCCCCATAGTGGCCCCCTTCGTGGACCCACACCGTGGCCCTCCCCCATCGTGGCCCCCCATCGTGGCACCCACAGTCGGGGAAACGTAAGACTCGAGCACGGCGGAATTCGGGTTCGCCTACGTATGTTGACAAGCCCGTCCTTAAATTTGACGGTCCAGTTTTCGTGGCATGTTTGCAGCGGGAGCCCGCGTCAAATTTCAGATTGGGTCGCGTCATTTTTATGATGGCCCCGTTGGGCCAACCCGAGTCCCCCTAACCCGAGTCTTACGTCTCCCCGACGCAGGCCCGCCCTCGTGGATTGTGCGAAGCTCTTGAGGTCTTCATCTTGTTGATGAGACCATCCTGTTGTTCTCCTGGGGCCATCTTGACCATCATGAGGGGCAGAGGGGTCCATGGGGGGGGAACGACGAGCAGCGAACAAACGACAAAGAAAAGAACGGGCGGCGCTAGGGTCAGCATATATCTCGCTGCGCGCATACCAACCACCCCTGCCAAATGGAAATACAAAATACACTTTCCCTCCAAATCTTGAGCATGTGCGAGCTCCCCACGACCCCTTTGCATTGGCTTCTGACGGACGGCGGGGGTGCCCTCATATTGTTGGCTGCGCGCAGGCCAACCACCTCTGCCAAAATTGAAGTACATAACAAGGTTTCCCTCCAAAGCTGGAGCATGCACGGGCGCCCCGCGACCACTTGAAACTGTTTTTGATTGGGACACTCGGGTGCTGCTTTTGCGTCTGGATGGCGGGTTTGCGTTTTTCTGCACCTGTGGCCTCTCGGGGGTCCAAGACTTCCCCAGACGACTCCGAGATGGCCAGGGCGCGGAGGGGAGGGAGGAGGGGGGGGGGGGCAGGGGAGGGAGGGAAGGGGAATGAGAGCGGATGGAAGGGAGTGGTGAGGGTGGGATGGAGGGGTTAGGAGGGACGGGATGGGGAAAGGGGAGGGAAGGAAGAGAGCGAAGGAGGGTGGGAGGCAGGGAAGGGGAGGGGAGGGGGGGGACAGGAGAGGGGGAGAGGAAGCCAAGGGAGGGGAGGGGAGAGAGAGACTGATACACACGCCGCCTCCTGCTCCTTACCCCTGCTTGTCCTCCGCCTCCTTCTCCTGCTCCTCTCCCTCGACCTCCACCTGCCTTCATCCGCTCGTCCTCCCTCACCTTCCTCTCCCACACCTCCCTCCCCCTCATCCTTTCCTCGCTCTGATCCCCCTCCTCCGTCGATACGACCTCTCGTTTCAGGAGTTGGTAAGGTGCCGCATGCTGAATGTCATGCGATTGGAGTGCATAGGGCACGCCCACACAACCTCACTCGACAGCGTATGGTTAGGCAGTGGTCGTGAGGATGACGTTGTCCTTGCCTGTCTCGTCTACCCCTCCCCGCATCTGTGGAGCAGCGGGCGGAGGGCGGGAAAAGAGGTGCGGGGGGCGTCCAGGAGAAACAACAGGACCGGGGGCTGGAGCGTGGAGGGTAGGGCCGAGGGGGAAGGCCACTAGAGCAGCGCAGGGCTGTGAAGACGAATCACGACGGGAGCTGTCTTTAGCTGCTTCCGGCCTCTGGGAGCATTCGCCACGGCCGGGGACCGTGAACAGACAGACTCGGGATGACGAGCTGGCCCTGGAGGAGTGGGTCGAGACCTCCAGTGGTCTGCGCTGTGTGCAAATCGAATATGAGAACCCCGCTCTTAGTGGCCTCCTAGATGGGGTCGGACATGGGGTCGAAGGAGCCCGCCGCAGTGCCGATGCATCGGCGATGCATCGCCGACGCATCGCCGATGCATCGCCGATACATCGGCGACGCATTGGCAATGCGGCGCGGTCCTTCGACCCCATTTACAGTCGGCCCGGATTAGTAGGTTGACCCTGCCAGGTCAAGGGTACCTTTGTGTTTTGTGCCTCGCGACACGTGCCTTCTTACACTCTTATGGCGATGTGGCTCTCGGAAGGGTCTTGTGTCGACTCGCGTGTCCTGTCCAATAAGGCCGACTGTACTCGGACCCCATCTAGGAGGCCTCTTAGGGAAGCCCGCGATGCCCAAAAAACTTGCCGTCGCGACTTCTGCTCGCGGCGCGAGGTGGCCTTGCTCGAGCGCCCTGCCCTCGGCAGCGCCTCCGCGCAGGGCGACGAGACCTGCACGCATCCGCCGTCAAGAGCCAGACCCATCCCGATCCAAGGGGGCGTCAGGGAAGCATCCTTCCTCCTCCTCCTCCTCCTCCTCCTCCTCCTCCTCCTCCTCATCCTCATCCTCATCCTCCTCCTCCTCCTCCTCCTCCTCCTCCTCCTCCTCCTCCTCCTCCTCCTCCTCCTCCTTCCCCCTCCTCCTACTCCTCCTACCCCTCATCCCTCTCCTCCTACCCCTCATCCCTCCTCCCCTTCACCTGCAGGGAAGCATCGTCCACCGCCCCTGGGCCCAGGATGGGCCTGGCCTTTGGCAGTGGCTAATCACGGATCGCGTCGCCCACCTTCAGCCACGCGCCGAGGAAAAAAGGGGAAGGGGGGAAGGCTTCTCAGAAGCACCTCTGCTTCCTAGAAGGCGCGGGCCCAATCTGTAGATGCAAGGCCGGCGCCCTCTGAGAAGCAGCCTCCCTCGAAGATGCCTTCCCTCACCCATAACCCCTCGACCCCTCGACTCCTCGACCCTCGATCATCGGTCCTCGACCCTCGACCCTCGATCCTCGATCCTCGACCCTCGATCCTCGATCCTCGATCCTCGATTCTCGACCCCTCCACCCCTCCACCCCTCCACCCCTCGATCCCTCGACCCCTCGACCCTCGACCCCTCGACCCCTCGACCCCTCGATCCTCGACCCCTCGACCCCTCGACCCCTCGATTCCTCGGCCCCTCGACCCCTCGACCCCTCGATTCCTCGACCCCTCGACCCCTCTTCACCCTCGACCCTCGGTCCTCGGTCCTCGATTCTCAGCCCCTCGACCCCTCGATCCTCGACCCCTCGACCCCTCCAACCATCGATCCCTCGACCCCTCGATCCCTCGTTGTGCGCGCCGCCGGCACTTGGCATGGCTGCCAGGGGCGGAGGGCGCCAGCCGCCCGCGGGGGGGGGGGGGCGGCGTAGAACAATTTGTGATTGCGTCGATCTCTTCGCTCGAACATTGTTCGATCGGATCTTTCTCTTCAACGCATGGCGCAACCTCTGAAGGTGCAGTAGCATCGTAATGAGCTGCACCTTAATGTGGCAGAACTATCGGACTGCCCAAAACTTTCTGTGCGGGGGAGGTGGCGCGCCGCGTGGCCGAGCTGGAGTGCGGGCCGCTGAGGGCCAGCGGCCGCGAGGAGCGCACGCCGGGCCCCTCCGCCGCCCTCGCCCCATCCGCTGCCCTCGCCCGCCCTTCCTCCGCCCTGCCCCCTCCTCCGCCCTCCTCCTCCTTCCCCCCTCCTTCTCCCTCCTCCTCCTTCCCCCCTCCTTTCCCCTCCCCTTCCCCCTCCTCCGCCCTCCTCCCCCTTCCCCCTCCTCCGCCCTCCTTCCCCCCCCCTTCCCCCTCCCTCTGCCGCCCCCCCCCCCCTCCCTCCGTCCCCCCCTCCTCCCCCCTCCTTCCCCCCTCCTTTTTTCCCCCCCTCCTGCCCCCCTCCTCACTCGCCTCGCGACTGGTCTCATCTCATCTCCTCTCCTTCCCCCCCTCCTTCCCCCTCCTTCCCCCCTCCTGCCCGCCTCCTTCCCCCATCCTCCCCCACCTCGCCCCTCCGCCGCCCCCCCCCCCTCGCCCATCCTTCCTCCTCCTTGGGACTTTCTGCACCCACGTGCGGGCCTCGCCACGTCCTGAGTTCTGAGTTCCGTCCTCCTCCCCTCCCCCTGCTTCCCCCCCTGCCTCCCCCCCCCTCTCCGCCCCTCTCCCGCCCCGCTCCCGTCCCCCTCCCGCCCCCTCCGTCCCCCCCCTTCTCCCCCCTTCCATCTCCCCCTTCCTCCCCTCTTCCCCTCTCCCTCCTCCCTCCCCCCCTCGCTCCAGCGCTACGCAGTGCGAGCGGTGCGGTCTCTCCCGCGCAGCCCGCGTGGTCCTCCAGGGGTGACGGTCGGGAAGTACTGCGCGGTGACGCGGTGAACCGGCTGTCCCCCTACGCACCACGCCGTCTCGGTTGGGCAGCGAGTCGCTGAGCGACGCCTGACCGTCGGTGCTGGCGCCTGCGGGCCCCTTCCTCCTGTCTGGGAGGCCGAGGGTGACGGTTGAGCCTCGCTCGCCGCTCACTTCTTGGATCTACGACACTCATGACATTCTTCCTTCCTTGCCCCGCCTCCCCCCTCCGCCATCCAGCCTGGAGCCTCGGCCTCGACGATATCGCGGCCCAGGGCAGCGCGGCTTCCTCGATCCAGACAATGGAGACCCATGCCAAGAAACACCCTGCCTGCCTCTAGGGTGCACTGTGTTTCTTGGGGGGTCGATGGTTGTGCTGACGTTCCGCACAAAAAAACAATGGACATCCTGGGGTCTCAGGGTTGGGTTTCTTGTGGAAGGTTTCTTGTGGACTGGCCTCCATTGTAATGTTGCGATCTGGTGTTTGAGCCGATCCTGCGCGCAGGACGCCGTCACTCGGCCGCGCGATCTTGTGCGGGAAGGTTCCCCTCCCACGAGCCCTCCAGGCTTGAAACCTGAGGCCGCCCACCGAATGGGTGGCCCCAGCCGTGGGGTTGTGCCGTGGACATTTGGGGCGGGGGTCACCCTCTCACCCGAGCGCTCCAGCCCTCCCAAGGAAAAAAGCAGTGCGTTTTCCTGTGTGGTTATCCTCTCCGTCCTTCCCACTGTGACCACCCTCCTCGTCCATTATCCTCCTCGCGATCGTTCCTCCTCGTCGGCGTCGTCGTCCTCCTCGTCCTCATCCTCCTCTTATCCCCGTCCTCCCACTGCTCCCCCGTCGCAGCTGCCGCATGCCACCATCCCTCCTCCCTGCTCACCCCTCCCTTCCCTCATTTCCCTCGCTCTCGCCCCCGCCTCATCATCCTCCCTGTCGTCTTCAGCCCCTCATCTTGCCGCCCCTCCCCCCCCCGCACGCGCCGACCCCCACCCCCACAAGCGTTGCAACCCCCCCAGCCCCGCGATGGACAGTCCAATCCTCCTTCTCCTCTTTTTCCTCCTCCTCCTCCTCCTCCTCCTTCTCCTTGTCCTCCTCCTTCACCTCCTCCTCATCCTCCTCGATATCCTCCGCCTCCTCCGCCTTCTTTTCCTCCTCCTCCTCCTCCTCGTCATCGTTCTCGTCATCATCTTCATCCTCATCCTCGTCCTCCTCCGCAATGGCGCTGCCACGCATGCAAGCACTGTACGGGTGTGTGTCTTCGGTTGCATTGCTTGGTGGCGGACAGAGGTGCAAGTTTCGGGTACCGCGGTACAGCCAAGACGATGCAATGATGGCCTCTTTGGGTTCGCAAGGGGTCCGGCGTTCCTTAGGTCAGTTCACGGTCGTTTCTCCAGCCTTGCTTGCACACCCAGGCGCCACTGGTGCCAAAGAGGATGGAGCTTCGTTACTTGTCTGTCATTCTTTATTTCAGCGGCCCGACTGTGGAAGTGCAGGCTTCGGGCTTCGCATTACAGCAGAAGAATGAGCAGCATCAATGGTCGTGAGCAGCGTCTCCCCGTCGATCGGCCACGCTTTTTCTCTTCCTGCGGAGCCGCGGGGGAGGCGGGATAACAAAAACACTGCAGGGCCGCGCTGCTCTGAAGAAGAAGCTGCTGGTGAAGTGGCACCCGGACAAGCAGCCGAGCGCCGAGCATGTGAGTTTGGCGACGCACGTGATGCAGGAGCGATTCCAGCAATTACCCAGACATGTTCGCGCTCTGCAAGACCATAAAGAAAGTGATTCGTCGGTTTCGGCCTTTGAGGGCCCTCGCCGGGCCCCAAACCAAACCGTCAACAACTACTCAGACTGAAAAACCGATCCCTGGAATGTGTCGGGACTTCCGCGGACCGCGCATTGAAAAAATCAGGACATCGCATGTCTGGGTATGCACTTGATTTTGACCTGCGTCTGTCCTCCCCTCCCCCTGCCACCCGCTTCTCTCGCCTGCAATCGATGAACCCCTCCCTCTCCCCAGCCGGACCTTCCGCATGCATGATCCTACGATCCTACATTCTTCCCCATCCAATCCATTCCCCAACCAGTCTGACATCCCTGCACCCCTCTTATTTTGTCTCTCTCTCTCTCTCTGTCTCTCCCTTTCTCTCTCTGTCTCTCTATGTCTCTCTCTCTCTCTCTTTCTCTCTCTCTCTCTCTCTCTCTCTCTTCTCTCTACTCTTCAGTCAGCTTACGCCAGTCCGCCGACACCCAGAAGAGAACGTGTGCGGCTTTGGGTATCTTGTGTGTGTGTGTTGCTTGCCGCGTCCCGTCATGCTGTCTGTGTGTAGGTGTTGCTGATTTGTCCTCTTCCTTCACGCCTGCTGCGGGGCCGCTTGGTGCCCCTTGGAGGCAGGAGAGGGCGCGGTACGAAGCTGGTGCATGCAGCCTGTCCCGGCCACGCTGCCGGGCGCCTTTCCTTGATGCCTTAGCGCCCCCCCCCGCGCCGGGCGCCGGGAAAACCAGTTCCGCGGGCTGATTTGAGTCGGGCATGTCTCTCTGCAGGGGGGATATTCAAAAATAGAAAAGTGCATGGGGACGATTTTTTGTTTTTGTTTTTGAAAGATGTTCCTCCAACATACACCTGTAGGAGGACATGCCCGACCTAAAGCTGCTTCGTTAACCCCTTGTTTCGGCGGTGAGCGAGGAGGGGAAGTGAGAAGGAGACGGCCTTCTCAGAAGGCTTGGAAGTCCTCGGGCCTTCTGAAAAGTGTTTGAGCCTTCCCCGAAGACACAGGAAACCTTCCAGACAGGAGGAGACCTTCTGAGAAGTCCCGCCGCCTTCTCAGGAGGCCTTCTCCCTCTCACTTCCCCCCTCGTTCGTCGCCGATCCTTGGCTATTCCCCCCGCGCCGAGCCCGCGCTGACACCTCCACCGAGGACTTCGTCTTCTTCCTCCTCGTTCGAGGCTCAAGAGACGGGGGTCAATGCAAACGGGGGTCAGTCAGAGCGCCGGATCTCGCAGGATCCGGCAGGGCCTGGGGCGCATTGGCCTGGGCTTGGGTGCAAGATCCTGCAGGGTCTCGCAGGATCTTGCAAGGCCTGACTGACACCCCGGTCTGGATGGACCCGGGTCAGCAGGTCCCCGACTCCTCGCCTCCCAATTTTCTGTTGGTCTCGCCCTGCATGTATCCAGAAAGGCTAGAGTCTCGAGGCTACGGCCTCACCGTCCTCAACGGTGGTCGCATCGCATCGCATCGCGTCCTCTGCTATCCCCCCGTTTCGTCCAACCCGAGTCGGGCCGTATCGGAGGCTACAGTGGGCTACCCGAGGCTCGGAGCCATCCTGGACGCACCAGTCTAGGCCTCCGAGATGGGGTCGGAGGAGATGGGGTCGGAGGAGCGCGCCACATCGACGATGCATCGGCGATGCGGCTCGATGTTGAGCCCTGTTTCCTCCACGCCGACGTCACCAATGCATCACCCACGTCGACGATGCATCGCCGGTGCATCGCCGATGCATCGGTGATGCATCGCCGATTCGGCGATGCACCGCCAATGTATCGGCGACGCGGCGAGCTCCCCGGACCCCAGCTACCGCGAGCCCATCTGGGAGGCCTCAAGTAATGGGGTGTCCGAGGCCTGGCGCAATCCTGGACGCACCACCGCCTCGCGCTCCCCCCCCCCCTTGTCCAGATCCACGGGAGTGGGCACGGGGGCGGGGCGAGCCCCACCTCAGAAGGGGAAAGAGGCCGGGGGGAGGAGCTCTCAAAACTGGTATCCTGGCTTCTCCCTCGTGTCGGTACCCCCTTCTCTCAGGAGGGAAAAAAGCACACAGGCACAATTAATCGTCGATTTCCAAAAAATGTATGGGAAGTGGGGGTGGGAAGACAACAACTTAGAAAATATTGGGAAAAATGGGAATTCTGTTACGTGTGTCTATTCATTTGTGTGTCCCAAGGCCCCTTCACTCTCCCTCTCCGCCTCCTCAGGCATGAGGAAGCAGTACAAACAAAGCACCTGTCCACCGGGAGCCGACGGAGTCTTACCTGAAGATTGGATCAGCACAGGGGCTGCGCGCGGCCTCGGTTGTCCGCCCCGCGCCGCGAGGGGCGACTCACCTAGTCTGCAGAGTCGGGTCGGCTCGATGGATCTGGTCATTGGGGGGGGGATCCGATCGACCCAGAATTTCTCGGGCCCCCAGACAATTCGGTCCGAGCAGGTGGGGTCAGAGGATCGCGCCGCATCGCCGACGCATCGGCGATGCGGCTCGATGCGGATGCCGATGTCTATACGCCAACGTCGCCGATGCATCGCCGATGTCGATGTTGCATCGGCGGTGCATCGGTGGTGCGGCGCGATCCTCCGAGTTTATCTACGCGGACGCGATGTTGAGGCATGTAGTTATGCAGGCGATTCGATCGATCTGGGACTCAGGGCGGCCTTTGGACAGCCATGCGGATTCAGACTTCCACTGGCCGCAGAGCATCTGGCGTCGTTTCCCCAGGGTCAAGCGACGCAACTCGTAGCCATCTGAGCCAAAGCCGCGTGGGCGAAATTGAAATGTATTGGCAGTTGAAATGTATTATTAGTCCAAAGGCAAGCTGCATGGGATTGAGTGTAAAAGCACATGTTGCGTTGTTGGTATTCAGCGTGGCTGGTGCCAGTGCTTGTTCCAATTTTGCGATGGATAACGATTTCCGAATCTCTGTGAGGACTATGGACCTCAGGGCCCTTCCTGCGGTCCAATGGACCATTGCAACGAAGCCGCAGGGGAGCAAGGGGCTCAGGGCATCGAAGCATGGCTACGCTGCGTTCATATTGGCGCTCGGGCAGATCGAGTATGACAGCATCGTGGTTGGAGGTCTGAACGACGCTGGATTATCATGTGACCTCCAAACGCTTCTTGGTACTGAGTACCCCCCGCACAACACGAGCACGGATAACATCGCTGCATCTCAGTTCTGTCGTTGGGCCTTGGAGGGGCACGGGTCCATCGCTGAACTGAAAGCGGGCCTACCTAGTGTCAATTTTGTCGCGCCCCCCATCACGGAACCGATCGGAGCTGCGCATTGGGTGTTTCGAGACGCCAATGGTAAGGGCGTCGTCGTCGAATTCTTAGAAGGCCAGATGAAAGTGTTTGATGATAACAACGACGCAGGCCAGACGGGCTTTGGGATTATGACGAATGAGCCCCGGTTTGAATGGCAGTTGCAGGCCGTGTGGCATTTGAAGTGGAAGCAAAGCCTCGCGCGTCCTTCTGTCTCGATGCCTGGATCTTGGTATCCCGACGAACGCTTCGAGCGCATATATTTAGTCAAATCTGGCATGCCAGCGCCGAAGGAATATCAGGAAGCGGTGATGCAGGCAGTGCATGTCCTGAACACTATCACAGTACCGATGGGCAATCAAATTGGAACCGATTCTGGTACTGGAGAAGGTCGAGGGGACCACACTCAGTGGGGCGTTGTTTATGACCATAAACGGAAAATCATGTATTGGCGATCCCAGGCAAACCAAAACATGCAACGTCTCCGCCTTGCTGACGCGGAAATTGCGATAGGTATGAAGGAGCGCTACTTGGCCGTTGAAAGCCCTCGGCTTCCTTGGTACAACGATGCATCCCTCGATTTCTCATATGATCAATTGCAGGCAGTCGTGTGAGTCCCGCGGGAGGCATTGTGTTTCGCGTTCGCCCACGGCTCTGAGTTGGAGCCGAATGGTCATCTGGATA